CCCCGCCCCCACGCCCCACGACGACCGGAGGCGCCGTCGTGAGGGTGTGTGTGCAGGTGTCCCCGGCCCATGCAGGCGTAGACTCGGGCGCGGGAAAACCGGCCTCTGGCTCCCGGGGCGTCCGCAGGCCACACCCAGGGAAATGGGGTTGCCTCTCCAGTCACCTCCGTGGCCCGGCCAGCCTGAAGCTTTGGCTCCCCGAATCAGTGATGAGGCAGTTGATCCGCCTCAGTGCCAGAGGCCGGGAGGTTTGGGCCTCCCTCCCTCCCAGTTCCCTGCCAGGCTGCGCCACCCGAGGCGCTGGTGCCCTGGGCAGCCCTAACTCCACCCCCCCCGCATCCTCCCTGTCGTTTTTCATTCACTCCTGGCCCCTCTGTCGCCACATATTCAACAATCCCAAGGGAAAATGCAAACCCTAGAGTCAGAAGGTGTTGGCAACGGAATCGTGGTTATTTGTGATTCAGAAAGATTCTGCACCTCACGGGGTCCCTGGGCCTGGTAACAAGCTGGGCGTGGTAGCGGACACCTGTAGTTCCGGCTGCTGGAAGGTTGAGGTGGAAGGATCGCCTGAGGCCGGCGGGTCGAGGCTGTGGCGGCCATGAGCGTGCCACTGCCCTCCAGCCTGGGCGACAGAGTGAGACTCTGATTTAAAAAAAAGAGAGAGTTGTCCTGCTGCCGTTCCCAGTGCAGGAGTTGCAGGGTGTACTCCCGACAGCAGCGACCTGGGAACCACCTCTGTGGCAACCTCACCACTGCTGTGGGGACTAACTCTGGAAGTTCAGTACCCTACCCTGGAGCCTCTGCCACCCCGACAGGTGCTGCCACTTCATCATGGTGCGCTCATACTCCCATTTCGGTTGCAGCCCCTCCCGTCAGCATTCCTGGCACCATGGGTCACAGTTGTGTGACACTTCACTCATGCATTTCTCAATACCACAGCAAGGACGTCTCTTTGGAGCCACTTCAGGTTCATGAGGGGTGGGGGTGGCTGTGAGGAGGTCACACAGGAAAAGTCCATTCCGACATTCTTTTTCTTTCTTTCTTTCTTTTTTTTTTGAGTCAGTCTTACTCTGTCACCCAAGCTGGAGTGCAGTGGCATGCTCACGGCCACCACAGCCTCAACCTGCTGGACTCAGATGATCCTTCCATTTCAGCCTTCCAAGTAGCTGGAACTAAAGGCACATACCACCACGCCTGACTAATTTTTTTTATTTCTTGTAGAGACAAGGTCTCGCCATGTTGCCCTGGCTGGTCTCAGACCCATGGGCTCAGGCAATCCTCTCACCTCTGCCTCCCAAAATGCTGGGATTACAAGCATTAGCCACCCCCCCCAGCTTTTTTTTTTTTGGCTCAGGGTGTCACTCTGTCACCCAGGCTGGAGTGCAGTGGCACTATCATGGCTCACTGCAGCCTCAACCTCCTTGGCTCAGGTGAACCTTCTGCCTTAACCACTCAAGTAACTGGGACTATAGGCATGCACCACCACACCCAGCTAATTTTTTTTTTTTTGAGTTGCAGTCTCTCTCTTGTCACCCAGGCTGGAGTGCAGTGGCACGCTCGTGGCCACCGCAGCCTCAATTTACTGGGATCAAGCGATCATCCCACTTCAGTCTTCCAAGAAGCTGGAACTACAGGTGCTTGCTTGCCACCATGCCCAGCTAATTTTTTAATTTATTGTAGAGATGAGGTCTCGCCATGTTGGCCAGGCTGGTCTCGATCCCACAGGCTCAGGCAATCATCTCGCCTCGGCCTCCCAAAGTGCTGGGATTACAGGCATAAGCCACCATGTCCAGTCATTTTTAAATTTTTTTATAGAGACGAGGTCTCACTATGCTGTCTAGGCTGGTCTTGAACTCCTAGGCTCAAGCAATCCTCTTGCTTCAGCCTCCCAAAGTGCTGGGATTATAGGCATGAGCCACCACGCCTGGCATTCCGATATTCTTTTTTTTTTAGCTGAAGTCTCACTCTGTCACCCAGGCTGGAGTGCAGGGCCACACTCATGGCCACCCCAGCGTCGACCTGCTAGGCTCAGCGATCCTTCTGCCTCAGGCTTCCAAAGTGCTGGGATTACAGGCGTGAGCCACCACGCCTGGCCCCATTCCGACATTCTTTTTTTTTTAGTTGAAGTCTCACTCTGTCACCCAGGCTGGAGTGCAGGGCCATACTCATCGCCACCCTAGCGTCGACCTGCTAGGCTCAGCGATCCTTCTGCCTTAGCCTTCCAAGTAGCTAGAACTACAGGTGTGTGCTACCACACCTGGCTTTTTTTTTTAAATTGTAGTGATGTGGTCTCACCAAGTTGCCCAGGTTGTTCTCGAACCTGTGGGCTCAGACAATTCCCTCACCTTGGCCTCCCAAAGTGCTGGGATTATAGGCTTGAGCCAATGCGCCCAGCCTGTTCTGACATTCTTATCTGGAGGTGACAGAGCATAATATAGTACTCCTCCAAGTTGGTTCCCAGACCAGCAGCACCAGGGAATTTGCTAGAAAGGCAAATTCTCAGTCGCCCAGACCTACTGAATTGGAGACCCGGATGATATGGCTGGGCAATTGGAGTTTTAAAGGTCTCCAGATGCTTCAGATGCATGTTCCAGCTTGAGAACCACTGCAAGAGGCCAAGAGTTTGAGTCTGAAGTCAGCCCACCTGGGTTTGAATACAGGCTCTGCCACTTAATGACTATAACTTCAGGCATAGTCCTTATACTGAGGTTGACCAGTAGTCCAAGTTTGCCTGACACTGTCCTGGATTTAGCACTGAAAGCACTACATCCTGGGAAACCCCTTAGTTCCAGGCAAACTGGGACAATTGTCCACCCTAAAACACCTCTCTGCCTCATTTTCTTATTTTGTCAAGTGGGCTAACATATTCAACTGTTTGGAACAGGCTGGCAAGAGTGAGCACTAACTGATGTACCCTCAACTGAGCTAGTCTCTAACTTTTCGATTCCTTCATCAACATTATGCCATCTAAACTTCATTTGTTAGCTGGGCTCGATGGCTCAGCCTGTAATCCCACACCTTGGGAGGCTGAAATGAGTGGATTGCCTGAGCCCGCGGGCTCGAGACCCGTCTGGACAACTTGGTGAGACCTCATCTCTACGATAAATCAAAAAATTAGCCGGGTGTGGTAGCGCACGCCTGTAGTTCCAACTACTTGGAAGGCTGAGGCGGAAGGATCGCCGGAGCCCAGCAGGTCGAGGCTGCGGTGGCCGGGAGCATGCCACTGCACTGCGGTCTGGGTGACAGAGTGAGACTCCAACTCAAAAATAAATAAATAAATAAACTTCATTTGTTAAAGTAAAGTACACCGAGCACAGTGGTTCATGCCTGTAACCCCAACACTTTAGGAGGCCGAGGCAGAAGGATTGCTTAAGCCCAGGAGTTCAAGAACACTTTGGGCAACATAATGAGATCTCGTCTCAACTAAAAATAAAAAAAATTAACTGGATGTGGTGGCACCCACCTGTAGTCCCACCTACTTGAAAGGCTGAGGTGGAAGGATCGCCTGAACCTAGGAGGTCAAGGCTGCGACATGATCATGCCACTGCATTCCAGCTCAGACAATAGAGTGAGACCCTGACTCAAAAAATTTTAAAAAGTGCTTAAAACTGTGCC